TAATAATAATAATAATAATTATAATAATAATAATAATAATAATAATAATAGAATAATAATTAGTCTCATTATCACATCAGGGAGTTTTTCTCTAATTGTTTCTGAGTTATGTCCTCAGAAACTTTTTTGTATAGCATAGTAAAACTAAAATATTGCTTCTTAAAGAGAGATTGAAGTTTGCCACAGCATATTCTGTAGAGTAAGTAGTGCCCTAAGTGTTCATTCCCATCCCTCCGACTATAGAGTAATTAGTGTCCTGAGTTTTGAATATCGTCCCTTTGAAAGAGAATAATTAGTGTCCTGAGTATTAATTACCTCCTCCGATGGAGTAATTAGCATTGAATAAATAAAATAAATTCCCTCTAGTGGAAAAATTTCCTTCCTGTGGCCTCCGCTCCAGCGGAGAGAACCCAACATGCTGGCGCAAACTTCAATCTCTTTTTCTTTAGAAAGATTAATTAAATTCTAGACGTATCCAATTTACAAACACAATTTAATATTTTAATTTCAGCATATTCCTTTAAGCAATCAATATTCACTTTAAAAATTCTGCTTCTTCTCATAATTTACAAAATGTATTTAACCCCCAAACTTTATAAATTGCATTGTAATAAAGTCTATGTATTTTCATCACTCATTATTAGGAAGTTGGAAATGAGAGGAAAGGGGGAGACATTCAACACAAAGAATGGAAATTCCAGAAGAAGAGATTGGAATGAGAAAGATTTATGGAACTGAAAATGCAGAGACTAGAAAAAGAGGAGAGATAATACAAAGAAAATATAAAGCACAAGATAAGATACAAGGAGTAAAAACAATGCTGGAGCAGAATAAGAAGAAGGATGGGAAACAACAAAGCATTAAACATCTAGAAGAGATAGAGAGAGGGGAAAGCAGACAAAGATACATATGAGGAGATGAGTGAAATGGAAGCTATTATTGAAAAAAGGATACTAGAATTCATCAAGAGTGCTCCCGAACATAGAGAAACCTGGAGGAAGTATTCGAATGGTGCGAGAAGTTAGAGACTCATCTAAAGAACTATGCATGGGAAACAATCCAAAATGAAGATATATAAAGGATGCTGCAGTCCTGCATCATGGGACCAGCCAGGAAAGAAATAATTCTGTTTTTTTCCCACAGGATTAGCACTTGAAAGATGTGAGATAGGAGTTTTTTTTTTAACAGAAATGTTGAACAGATTATCACAAGAAAAATATGAGAAAAACCGGAAACATGAATTATTAGCCAGGAAACAGGAAAAAGAGGAGGATAACAAAGGATATAATGCTAGACAGAGATAAATATGTCAGAAACAGAAATTCCTAGACAGGAAACAGGAAAGTAGTAAAGACACCAAAGAATATTATGCTGAAAAAGGGGAAATTATGGGTAAAAGCATTCACTCCAGAAAACAGGAGCCTGGTAGAATTCAAATTGAAATGATCAATGGACTGTATGATGAAAAGTTGAGAAAAACATGCAGTTTTTAATGCCGGAGAAACCACAGCAGAAAAAAATAGAGATAAAAGCAATATTAGACCTCAAACTATCTTCAGAAAGATACGAGATAAAAAATATGTTTACAGAGAGTTTTGAGACAACGCGACGGAAAATAACAAGAGAGCAAAAAAAATGTGGGAATCAGGAAATATTAACACACACAGTTCTAAGACAGCAGAAGATAACAAGGTGGGGGAAACACAAAAAGTTAGCCAGTATCTTGTAATAATGCAGGCAAAGAAGAACAGACATAAAATGATTGCAAAGACAAGGGACAAGAATGGTATGAAGATTTAAAGAAACATTTTCTAGGCTGGGAAGAGAACGATCCAGACAAAAGATGAAAACCAGATACATATCTTATTCTGAAGACATAGATATGGAAGCCCTGGGATCAGATGAAGATAATCAGGAGGAAAAAGAGGATGAAGTGTAAGGGAGTTCTAAGTACGCTTTTATAACAAAGAATAATGAAATATGGTTGGAAATTTTTCATCCATATATAGCTGTAATATATTCTTTATTAATGTGTAATGTTATCTATGTTATCCAAGCTAGTAATATAGATATCTTAATTATCTGTATGTTGACCCTGCCGGGCTAGCCCGGTCAGTTTAGCCCAGACCTGGCAAGAATCATTGACACCAGAAACACCGGATCCTATTGGTAGAGTAGTCGCAATGTTAGAACGCCCTAAGGTGGAAGATTCGCAAGAGTTCTATGTGTCCTGGCTGAAGACGGAGAAGGCAGAGGGAAGGGCGGATAGACAGATGTTTAGAGACCTAAGCTGAATATGAGAAGAGACTGTTGGATTTTAGCTGTAGAGCCCCAACATATGACGGTAACCCCAGTAAGGTATTTGACTGATGTGGTGAGTTAGAGAAACATTTGTCAAGATTTAAGTGTGAAATGATCCCCAACAATGCAATAAAAAGGATGCTGCTAGACTGCATAACGGGAAAAGCACAGTCTGAGATAGTATTGTTGAAACCTGATGGATTGGCTTTCAACAATTACGAGATTGGTGAATTCTTTCAAGAGTTATTGAAGAAGTTTAACCACGAGAAGGATGAGGAAGGCAGGAAGATGGAATAACGGGAAAAGCACATAGTATTGTTGAAACCTGATGGATTGGCTTTCAACAATTACGAGATTGGTGAATTCTTTCAAGAGTTATTGAAGAAGTTTAACCACGAGAAGGCAGGAAGATGGAATATTTGCAGAGGAGACAGGCAAGAAATGAAGATGCTAGGCAGTATTACACGGACAAGCTGAGGTTATTTGTGCAAGCATACCCCCCAGCCCGGAGGAGTCTAGTAGAGTTCAAGACTGATATGTTGCTAGGACTGTACAACACTGAGTTGAGGAAAACTTGTCTTACGTTTATGCCCAAAGAGATTAAACATGAAAGAGAGATTAGGGCAGTTCTGGACCACCAACTGGTAAACCTGAGGACTTATAATATGGACCCAAGGGCCCCAGCACAAGATATGGCGGGTCTACATAATACTTATGGGTATGATAGGAGTGAGGCGAGCAAGGCCAACGAGATGTTGAAGACGGGACAGGTGCCCATGGACGTCAACGCCATGCCAGGGCTGGTGGAGGACGTGTCTGATGTTGAGGATTTAGAGGCGGAGGGCGGAGTAAATGCTCTACAGAATGGAGATACGTGTTATTTCTGCAAGAAAACTGGTCATCACAAGAGGGACTGCAGGAAGTTTGAAGAATGGAAAACGAAAAATCCCCATAAGAAACCCGGGGGAAACTCCTGTAGTGCTACTTCCGGCCCCTCCATTTCATGTTATAATTGTGGGAAAGAGGGTCATATCTCCCGAGAGTGCAGAGGAGAACGGAGAAATCAAGGAAGGAGAAGAAATGGCGGATATGGGGGCGGACAGATGGCGGAGATGGCCAAATCCATGGCAGTGATGCAAGAGAAACTGGTACCAGAGGTGGTTTTTCCCTAAGGAGTTACGATGACGGACGGTCGTTAACTCCTATGATTGCAGAAAATAATGATTTGAATGTAAATAATAATCGTTTAATAAACATTTCTGTTAATCCAAATGTCCTTAATTTGTGTGAATTAGTACCGGAAGTGCAAGTTAATAAAGTTAGAACGGAAGTGTTAGATATTAAAGACAAGGTTAGAGAAGTATCTAATGGTTTTAACCCGAAAATGAGGGATAGTTTGAGACCTAATGGTCATAAAGATCTAGAACTGAGAGAATGGGAAAGGAATATTCTCGTACATCTGAACAATGTTTATTTAATTGAGAGGGACGACCGTAAAACCTCGTATGTGAAATTTAAGTTATTTAAGCGGGACATATACAGATTAGCCCTAGTAGACACAGGCATTTTAGTGAAAAGTACTTTAGTGTCTAGTGAATTCTGGAAGATGATAGGAGGAAAAATGTTGGAGGAGAGTGATGCTAGAGTAAACATGGCGAAGAAAGGTGGGAAAGGATTGAGAGTATTGGGGAAAGGGGAAAGGATTAGGTTCTACTTGGATGGCCTGGACTAAAGATTTGAAGTAGAACCGATTGTGATTTAAGGCCTGAATCATGCAGTGAATTTTGGTATCGAGTTTTTTCGTCAACAGGAAGTGTCAATATCCTGTACTGCGAAGAAAGTGAAATTAGTTACCGGAAGTAGGGGGCAGGAAAGGTTAACAAGGCTGTGCAGTGCTTATGGGAAACCTTTCCCTTTAAAGATTAAAGGTAGGAGAGTAGACAAGGAAACAAGAAATATACGCAGATACTTGTAGAGAGGTGTAGAGAGGAAGTTATGGGCTGCAGAGAAGGTAACTATACCTGCAGGAAGTGCAAAATTAGTCAAGGTGAAAATTGAAGGTAACTGGACTGGGGCTGGGGTGGTAGAATTGTTACCATTAGAAGATCAAGAGAAGGGGAGAAACATTTTACTTCCAGAAAATGCCTATAATCTAGTTGAGTTGTAAGTGAAGACATTCCGAAAAATGCTTCTCCGCAGAATTTCTTCTGGAAGTTTTTGTAGCTATCAGGAAGTGTACAAGCGATATATGTAGAAAATCATGCAGAGGAGTGCGTAGAGTTTTGTGTGGGACAGAAGCTGGGCACAATTCATAGTATGTGTATAGATAAACAAGCCTGGATTAAGGAAGAACTAAGGGGAAGTCCGGTATCAGATTTGGATGAAGAGGAAGTGTGTAATTCTTCAGAATCAGTCAATTCTCTGCAGGAGTCAGATTTCCCAACTGAGGAGAGTATAAGGAAGTTTATCAAGGACAGTTTCAAAATAGATGAGAACAAAATTCTGAACAGAGATGCAAAATTGAAGAAGGAAGTAATCAAACTTTTCTTGGAGAACTTTTCTACATTAGCACTTCATCCTAACCATTATGGGAAAAAAGATTTATTGGAGCTGCGGATAGAATTACAACCTGGGGCAGTACCTAAGAGATCTAAGGTGAGGCCATTGAACCCTGATCAACGTGCGAACTTGAAAGAACAGTTGGATGAGTGGATCCAATAGGGGATTATAGAACCTGCAAATAGTCCCTGGGCATTGCCACTAGTTCCAGTAAAGAAGAAGGATGGGAGGACGAGATGGGTGACGGACCTGAGGCAGCTTAATGACGTCACAATCAAGGATGCTTATACTCTGAGGAATATCCAGGAAAATCTGCAAAAGTTAAAGGGTGCAAAAATCTTCACTTCAATTGACGCCTGCGGGACGTATCACGCAATACAGATAGAAGAGGGGAGCAGGGATTATACAGCTTTTATAAGTCCTTTCAGCACATTTTGCTATATCCGGATGCATTTCGGCCTGTCAAACGCCAGAAGTGTCTACAGCCGGATGTTGGACCTAGCCCTGGCTCATTTACCTGTGGAGTACTGGCTATCATATTAAGATGACATTCTGGTGTATTCCATGGACACCTGGGACCACTTGAAGCATCTGAAGAGCATCGTGGAGGCTCACACCAAGGCAGGGATCAAGATTCAACCTAAGAAAACCAAGATATTTCAGACAGAAACCGAATATTTAGGACACAAAGTGAGTCAGGGCAAGGTACAGATGTTAGATCAATATGTGAAAGATATACAGAGCTGGCCACATCCCACCCGTTGCAAGGAGATGTCATCATTCCTGGGTTTCACGGGTTATTACCGAGGGTTTATTCCTAGGTACTCAGCTTTGACCAACAGGATGAATAGTCTTAAGAAGGCGGAGAAATTTGTATGGACTGAAGATATGGAGAAGGATTTCCTGGAGCTGAAAGCGTAGTTTTCAGCAGGGCGGATACAAGCTTATCCCGACTTTGATTCAGATGAACCATTCATCCTTACTACGGACTGGTCGTCTTTAAACATTGCAGGGGTTTTGTCTAAGAAACAAGGAGTAGAACGTTTTTTGGGTTGTTGGGGGCGGAAGTGTAACCATTATGAGAGACACTACTCTAGCACCGAGGGGGAGTTACTCGCCTTGGTGAAGTGTATGAAGAAGTGGGAACATATTCTGAAGTACCGGCCCCCATTTTTAGTCTACACAGATGCTGCTAGTTTAAATTATATTGTGAACTTGAAATCAGAAGAAACTATCTTTCAACACTGGTACGCGGAACTGGCACAGTTTGAGTTCATTGTTATACACAAGAAAGGANAGCCCCCCAGCCCCCGTGCCTCTGGAATAACGGAACTTTCAGCTTGGCTTGGGTTATTTATAGAATTCACATGCAAACTCAAATAAATCCGTTAGGATTCAAAATAGGATTCAAAAGTCCAACCAAAGGGTAAAAGGGGGGGGGCATGATACCCCTAGGTAGCTATGATCTCAGCGATCTAAAAACTCCTTGAATCGCTGATCGTAAAAGATCAACAAAATCACACATTGTTACAGTAGTACAGGCCAGACACCGTTCTTTGCAACATTTGGACAGGAAGCGATAGTTCCCTTCCATTGGGTTTACCCAATCCCCCGACCGAATGCTGAGAAGGATGTATCTGCCTGGACAGAGACTATACAAGAAAGGTTTCAAACTGTTTATGCTGGGATGAGAGAGAGACAACAGCAGATTGTGAGGAAAAATGCCCAATATTACAAGCGGATCTTGAACCAGTTCAACGTAGGACAGTGGGTATGGATCTTTAATCCCAAGATCATTCCAGGCAGTTGTTCACAAACTCAGGTCTTATTGGGTGGGGCCTTATAAAATTGTGAGATTATTGGCCCCAGCATTAGCCGAGGTGATTGCTGTATACGAGCATGGTAAACCGAGGATAGTGAGTCTAGACAGGAGTTTAGGGGGGAGAATAATGTGCACGGACTACCCAGCGACTCCCCCCACACCCATCATTTCAAGGGGGAGATGAGATTACAGAAATTCCGAGCTCAGAGCTAGAGAAACCGATAACAGAAGGGAGTAAGAACCAAGAGGCACAGTCAGACAAGAGAGAACGAGACCCGGGGGACAGGAGGGAGACAGCTGGCCAGACAGAACCACAGGAGATTAGACAGACTGACCACGAGACCCAGATAACATCCAACTGTGAAAAGGAAGGGGGGGAGGCCCACCCCGCCCTAGATTTAGATAGAGAGGTTGAAATGCAAGGCGGAGACTAGAGAGAGGCAGAGCTCCAGCACAATACTAGATTAGAAGACATAGATGAACCGACCCTGCCAACCCTGGCCCGTGAAAATGAGATAGACATGCAGGAGGGGGGCACAGGAGTAGGGAGGGGCAATCAGAGGGTGTAGAGAAAGAGATAGACATGCAGGAGGGGGTTACAGGAGTGAAGAGGGGCCAATCAGAGTGAGTAGAAAACCCGTGCAACGGCAAATTGCGAAGGAGAGAAGGAATAAAGCGGGGTTTACGAGACATTACACCGGTGAGTTATGAAGAATACGATGCCAGCTGGGAACTTGAGACCAATCAAAGAAGTGTAAAAGGGCGGTGAATTGTTTATTGGCCAGCAGTGAATGTAAAGGCGCGAATGAACCAATCAGGGACGAGAGTGGAGACTTGCCGGTACATTTATCCTCGGACACGGTTGCAGAGCTGGGCAGGCAGGCCAGGACCAGACGCAGCCGGGGCAGTACAGACAGCCTTGATACCAGGCCCTAGTAGCAGTAATACTGGCCAGTACAGCAACACAGCTGCGGTGTTGAACACAGCTGCAACCGAGGCTAGTTCAAATCATACAACAGACACAGTTAGTCAGTTGCACAGCAAACCAAGGAGGATTCAGTCATCTTGGAGTAAGAGAGAATTAAGGACAATGATTACATTGATGTTGTTACTTGCGTCAATTTAGAAGGTGGAAGGAAACTCGGACTGGCAGGAATCAGTGTTCAAAATACAATTGTTTGACTGCACCACCCTTGCGATGATCAATAAGTTACACCTGCCTGATATGTGTTTCATCCCGAAGGAGAAGTTGCCTGAGAAGTTAGCCGTAGCCCAGCCAGCTTGGATTCTCGGGGAGGAATATGTCCATGAACTTTCCGGTGTGGTTTGCTCCGCAACAATATCCCGTTTTGGGGGGTATTGTGGAGCTCACTAGCACTGGAAGTTCATGGATGTCCCCGAGATCGAGTCCGACAAGCCTGTAACTTTAGAACAGTGTACGACAGCGAAGAAAGGGTTTTACAACTCGCCTGATGGTAAACGAGTACAGATCTCTCCAGGTGAAACTATCCTCTATCAGTATATAGAGGATGGTTCTATCACGGTGCATCCCACAAATACCTATTGTGAGGGTGTGTCATTACCCTTACATCAAGGTACTATAGCGGATCAGTCCCTGGTCCTGACCCAAATCTGTTTTTCCATGCTCCGTGAAGTTTATCTCAGGACAAGAGGGGGAAAACAGCTGCTAAGCACTCCAGAGTTTCACTCACCGCTGATTGTTCAAAAAGCTGGTGTCTGGACGGTCCCCGGGTATACTTGCTGGATGATCAAGCTCAAGCCTGTCCCTTCAAGAGGATCCGATCTGTTAGCCTGAGGCCTGAAGGGACCAGTATGATGATATCAGAAAACCTTGCCATGCTGTCAACCTGACCAAGACGGAGGTTTTATAATTACCTGGATGTCCTCAATTAACCCTACATCATACTTCTCTGGGCACGGTATCAATCACCTTTGATAAGAGAACTGCTGGACTGCCTGAAGTTGTGAGTTTAGACGTGAGAAGTGACCAAGATCTGATCCCGACCCTGAAGTATCTGGAACATCAGAATTCCCGTGCCTTGAGTGATCTGAATGATAGGGTAGAGAATGGAGGATGTACAACCTGGCTCAATATTCATAATGATAAAGATTATCTCCATCCCTTGAGACGGGAACCTGGGTTGTTTGTTCGCCGCAGTGGAGAGATAGTGTATGAATACTCCAGCAAAATGATTGAGGTTCCAATTGCAGAAACTCCGATATGTTTTAGCAGTGTACCAGTGCTAGTACGTGGGAGCCAGTATATGTTCAACTTGGGACACACATGTAATTACTCCACATCTTTCTGTTCAGCCCTGCAACGAACTGTACCCGATGCTGGTGAAATCTACTACTGGCTGGATCTCAGTGTCAACAAGAGTACTGCAAGTCAAAACTTCCGCACGGCTGGAAGTATCTAGTTCTTATAAACCTTCAGAAACTCTTAAATCCCTGTACACCATAGAGGAGTGAAAGAACTGGGAAAGTTATCAGCAGCTTCTTTCATACCAGAAATCACAACACCAAAGGTTATTAAACATGTTATGCGATGATGAATCATGCAGCTACGGAGGACACAGTGCTCTGGCAGGAATGAACCTCGAGGATCTCAAGAAACATATCCAAGAAGGAAGCAAAGCAATGTTGGCCTCCCTGAACCCGTTTGGAGCAGTATACAGGGAAATAGAGCACCTCAAAACATTCCTAAGTACAGTGCTGTTAATCAAATATAGTATGTTGACAGTTTCAGTAATGATAAGTGTTCTTTACGGAGCCACAGCAACGTTAGGAGCCTTGATTACGAGGATTACTCTGAACTGGGCTTTGCATAAAAGCCGTAAGAATCCTAGAGCAGAACCTATCCAAATGGAAAGACTCATCTCAAATGTTGGAAACCTGTAAATGTCAAAGTATCGTTGGATCTACTACAAACAATAACCTTTGACACCCCCCTTTGGGGGATTTGTAATATATTCTTTATCAATGTGAAATGTTATCTATGTTATCCATGCTAGTAATATATATATCTTAATTATCTGTATGTTGACCCTGCCAGGCTAGCCCAGTCAGTTTCGTTCACCTGTATATAAATAAATTAGTTCAATGAGATTTGTTGTTTGATACGGACGTACACATAGCCTTGAGTTTTGGCTAAGGATAGAGAGCCTGTAGTTTGGCGAGAGATAGAGTCATTTAGATTCTAATTAGACTTTAAGTGGAGTTATCATTACGTTATCTCGGATCTAGATATCTTACAGGATCAATAAGAATCCTAGAGCAGAACCTATCCAAATGGAAAGACTCATCTCAAATGTTGGAAACCTGTAAATGTCAAAGTATCGTTGGATCTACTACAGACAATAACCTTTGACACCCCCCTTTGGGGGATTTGTAATATATTCTTTATCAATGTGTAATGTTATCTATGTTATCCATGCTAGTAATATATATATCTTAATTATCTGTATGTTGACCCTGCCAGGCTAGCCCGGTCAGTTTCGTTCACCTGTATATAAATAAATTAGTTCAATGAGATTTGTTGTTTGATACGGACGTATACATAGCCTTGAGTTTTGGCTAAGGATAGAGAGCCTGTAGTTTGGCGAGAGATAGAGTCATTTACATTCTAATTAGACTTTGAGTAGAGTTATCGTTACGTTATCTCGGATCAAGATTGCTTACATAGCAACTCTGCCGGGTGTTTACACAAACTAAAACTCCTTTTTTGTAAAAATCACAAACGAATGCAAAAAACTTTTTAAAATTGTGCTTTTATGAAAAAATTGTTAAAATTCATTTATATGTTTGTATTTTTTGCAAACAACCTGTGAACTGTGTGTGCATTTTTACGTATAGGCTCAAGGTTAAGACTAGGCCTTAAAAAATAACTTTGTAATCTTGAAAAGATGATTTCAGCAGTTGAAGCCGACCCTTGCCCAGCTCCAGAGTTCAAAAAAAACTCTGTGCCAAAAAAAGGGCACTTTATTAATACTCTAAAATCCAGATAGAAACATCATTTTCGGACCAAGGCAACCTTCACATAGGAGCCTACATTTAACAGCTATCCAAATCCCTGATTCTATTTTATGGAGCTTAAAGCTGCTCCCCTACAGCAGCAGCCTTCAACAGGTCTCCACCAAAGAAGCTCAGGGTTCTAGGATTCATCTAAACCAGCTGTTAAGCAGCTCCCCAACAGAAATCAACTCCACACTTTAATAACGCTCCAATATATTCCGTAAGTTTTCAATAAACATTTCAAACCCCATCACATATCATTTAATTAGACATAAGGTCTAATAGAAAATTTTAGAGATACTTCCCAGAACAATGATGAAGATGCTAGAGAATACTGTAGCATACAACAGGTCACAATACGACACAAGAATATGAGGAAGATATTGGAAAATATTATACTAACATGCTGAATCAATGGATAAAGCATATCCTTCAGAGGAGAGGAGCCTGGTAGAATTTAATAATGGATTTCTACGGCACTAGATGATCCCAAGTTGATGGTTTTTATGTCTAAGGAGCCAAAACATGGTAGTGATATTTGGGCAATCCTGATACTACCAGACTGCAAGCTATCACAGGATAGAAAGAAGTTGGAAGCTACATGTAGAAACAGTTTTGTGACAATGGAAAACCACATTAGAACTGAAAGGAATTATACCGATTTTAGAAACATTTATGATAGTTTAATGATGAATCAGGAAGAGATAATGCTGAGTTTAGACAATAAGAAGATGCACGATGAAGAAGAAGAAGAAGAAAAATATTGAGTGAACCCTCAAAGGATCAACATACCTTCTTGCCCATGTATGACCATCTACTCCACCATTTTGAAAGGCATGATCTTCAGCCTCAATCCACAGGCACATATGCTTTCTCCTGTGAAATCTGTAGATGTCAGAGAAAGTTTCAACCTCATCCCTGCACTCAGTTATATATCCTATCACAATTAGGAAATACTTCACGAAATAATAAGATATCAAGATATTGGCAGTTGTTAGCAGTGGGTTAGCATAAAAATGACCGAGATTACATGCATATGATAGAGAAAAGACCAGGACTGTTTGTGATATGTATGGTTGCTGTATGTACGAATACCTATCTGTGACTACAAAGGTTCCCTTGGCAGAGATATCCGTTTGTGTCAATGCACTACCTGTTATAATCCGTGGATCTACCTACGCTGACCTTGCTAGCCTGGTTATAACAGCACATCCAGAAATCATTCCTTGCTCCGATCAATTCCCGATGATAGTGGAAACCACTAGGCATGTCTGGGTCACCATTAATAGGAGAGTTGCACAGACATTCGCCCCCACCTTTATCCATGAGAAAGTTTCCAAGATAGCAGAGGATTAGATCACCACCCTGTATACCCCTGATGAACTACAATCATTGGAGGATTATAATAGTTTGCCAGCTATATGAAATCCTCCCACCAGAAAATACTGAACTCAATGTGTGTCTGCCTAATGAGGAAGAAAAATAGACTGTTGATTACAGAAAATTCGACAAAGACAGGCATCAAGCAACCACACCATTAAAAGACTGCTCATTGGAACCGGCAACACTGGGTGCTTCTACTCTAGTATTTATGTGCTGCCAGTCGGAATTCGAATTTGCCTCATAATAATTTCAATTTGCTTTTAAATTTTGGACATCCGCAAATTTAATAGTAAGATCTGCAACATATTTTGTTGTTATCATTTCAAAATGTAAAGGATGCTTAAAGGAACGCCCAGACAAAGAGCTAAAATTATCTAACTAGTATCTAATAAAATATAACGATCTAAAATACTTAAGATTGGTTAACATTTCATTTTTCTTATGCGTAAAATTCATTGACTAACAGTTTTCAAAGACCATGATGGATAAATTCTTTTAACCTTAGAAAACTGGAGTTCTATTGTGTAAAATTTATTAACCATTGACAGTTTTATAGGACAGATATAGTCCTTTTACCTTAGAAAACTGGAGTTTTATTGTGAAAAATTTATGAACTATTAACAGTTTTTAAAGACGGATAAAATCTTCCTAACTTAAAAAACTGGAGTTCTGTTGTGTAAAATTTATTAATTATTAACAGTTTTTTAAGACAGATATAGTCATTTTACCTCATAAAACTGGAGTTCTATTGTGTAAAATTTATTAGCTATTAACAGTTTTTGTTACGCTAGCGCACGCTGCATCGTAGAAGTCAATGAAGCATCCCTGTTTCCACTATTTATCCATGTTCTGAATGATTGTTTCCAAGAGAGATGTTGAAGATAAAACCTGTTTTTTAGTGACAAATTGTTTATTGTTTTGAGCATGTGCTAAAACTAATGTGAATTAGATCAGTTTGCTGGCATATGTAATAGAAAGTAGTTAGATAAATATCTTTTATGCTGAATTGTCGTGCTAGTATCGGAGGACTATTGTGGTAAATATGTTTATTCGATTATTAAACTCTTTTTATGTGTTTTGTATGATATATATTTACATTCTTTTAGCTTCGGCTACAGTTTTTAATGCAGAATAGTATGATAGGATGATTTATATATTGGATGAATATGGATGTATTGTACTATGCAAAGCTTTTCTGTAGTCTAAAACATGTTTTATTTGTCAGACTGAAGCACCGATCCTAATTAAGACTTGAAGCTAATCATGCCTTTTGTTTCACCTTGAGAAGGAGCAAGAGTAGAGGCCCAACGAAATACGGCGCGGTGGTGGATCATTTATAAACCAGGGCAAGGCCATAGTTGTAATAATCTGTCACATCTAATCTTAGTTTCATTTACAGACATGTGGCTTCCTTTCTCAATATCAATATCTAGCTAATAATATTGTCCTCTCTCTGAATACTACCCCAACATCCCTCAGATGGCCTCTGCTCTTCAGCTTCTCTCATATTATTATTGAGACAAATTTCCTTGACTGTTACGTCATATATTCAGGGTCTGTATTCTTCATAAAAAAACCTCATCTCTCCTACTCGATTCCTCATTATACTCCTCCAAAAATATAAATATATTTTTGTACCCCTTGATAAGTTTAGAGGCTTTTAACTATGCTATATTTGTTATCCTTGAGAGGAATATAAATGATTTTAGGGGGTAAAAAATAATGTCTACAAAATTCTCCAAGATTTATAAATATATATTGTTTTAAAAACCTAAATTGTGTCACATTATACTGTATATAATATATATTTTGAAGGAGGAGAATGATTTTTTAAGGATATGGAAACAAATAATAATTGGACAGTTTTTCTACCCTTTTTAAATTCTTACTAATTATCAAGAATTTGTGTTTTGCTTAGTCAGATGCAACTCATGAGTAAACAATTCAATATAGTTTCAAAAAAAGAAAACAAGATCTTCTCAGCTTGTTCAATTAAATACAGAGTTCAGAAAAAAAGCAAGATCCTCAACACAAGTTCTTTCTTGTAAAGTGGCAAACTACAAGGATATCCAAAAAAATTCTTTTCTTTTTTTCCAAATTAGCCAAAATATGATTGAAAGATGTACAAAGAAGAACAAAATGAAAAAAAAGAAATATAGAAATATCAAAATATTTTCATCTGATATCATATAAATATTTAAAAATAATGTAAAACATAATCAAAATAAATTATTTAAGTTAAAAAGATAAAAAAAAAATTTTGAACCAATCTCTTTAAAAAAAAAGATAACCTTGGAAGAGCGATGATCATGTTTTCTTCTTCTGCTCCAATCTGCAGAATTCCTTTCAACTTATTCTCTAGTATAAATAATCTTAACAAAAACAAAAACTCATTAAGATTTTTTAGTTTTTTAACGATAAATTTGATACTTAGCACAAAAAAAACGTCAAATATATTAATGATCTCTGACAGAACATTTTCAATTAAATACTTTCACCCTTATATCAAATACAAACCAAAGCTGATACAGCAGTGCAACAGTAGTGCAGCAGCAGTGCAGCAGCAGTTCAACAGCAGTGCAACAGCAGTGCAAAAGTAGTGCTACAGCAGTGCAACAGCAGTGCAACAGCAGTGCAACAGCAGTGCAACAGCAGTGCAACAGCAGTGCAACAGCAGTGCAACAGCAGTGCAACAGCAGTGCAACAGCAGTGCAACAGCAGTGCAACAGCAGTGCAACAGCAGTGCAACAGCAGTGCAACAGCAGTGCAACAGCAGTGCAACAGCAGTGCAACAGCAGTGCAACAGCAGTGCAACAGCAGTGCAACAGCAGTGCAACAGCAGTGCAACAGCAGTGCAACAGCAGTGCAACAGCAGTGCAACAGCAGTGCAACAGCAGTGCAACAGCAGTGCAACAGCAGTGCAACAGCAGTGCAACAGCAGTGCAACAGCAGTGCAACAGCAGTGCAACAGCAGTGCAACAGCAGTGCAACAGCAGTGCAACAGCAGTGCAACAGCAGTGCAACAGCAGTGCAACAGCAGTGCAACAGCAGTGCAACAGCAGTGCAACAGCAGTGCAACAGCAGTGCAACAGCAGTGCAACAGCAGTGCAACAGCAGTGCAACAGCAGTGCAACAGCAGTGCAACAGCAGTGCAACNAAGCTTTGTATGATCAAGGATGAATAAGAAAATCAAGATTTCTCTTTAAAGAATTAGTTATTTTAAATTTTGTTTTCTCTTTTTTTGTGACTTGCGGATTTCTTGGTGCAGAAACAATGTAAGAAATCGTGAGATTTTAACATTTTTAGCTAGAAAAACGAGGAGGTCTTCCAAATCATAGATAAGATAAAGGTTTAAAAAATACTGTTGTGAACCGGGCAAGGCTCTTTTTAAATGTAGGGTCAAATAAAATTACAAGCACAGTCCCTTTAAATAAATAGAAAACATCATTTCTTGTACCATACAAAGCTCCACAATCTGATTTAATTTCGGGTTAGATTTAGAAAAAAAGTAAAAATCTGGTAAAAAGCTAAACTTTGTTAAAAACTATTATATTTTGTCATACCTCTTATAAATGATATCTTAAATGTTTTTTCTGGTAACATTTCCAACATATCAGAAACATTACACACTCCATAGTCGCTTAACAGAAATATTAGTTACATATTACAAACAAAAATAGTTCTAAAAAGTGCTTTCAAAGGCAAGAATTATTTAAGCTACAAGATACAGGGTTGCCAACACAGGATGAGACTTCAGAGACGACTATACAGAAAATTTATTATTGGTAGCCTTTTATTCATGGTTCCATACAGTCGTAAACTTGTTTCTTTCTTAACAAAATCATGGAATAAGCTATTTGAAGTCTATATTCAAACAAGAGGACTAAATTCAGCCTTGAAATCGTCATGTTTTGAGAGTATCAGGTCGTCTTTACAGTCTTAGGCTTTGTGGGTAACCCCGTAGTTTAACAGACATTGAGTAAATCTGACCACTCAGCATTTCAGGTTTTATACTAATTTAAACTATTGATCAATATTTTAAATTATGTTAGGTTAATGCAATTTCTATGCCGATCGTTAAAAATGGGACAGACCAAGGGATCAAGCGCTGCAGCCGTAGTGCTGAGGTAAGGTAAGGAGATGCTTTATCCAGTAAGAAAGTAGCTATTATGCTTGAGTACAATTGTGGTGGGGGTAGGGGGGGGGGACTTTCCTCCACAGATTATTTGATAGAAAATTTCGTTAACATTTCATAAGGTCAAAAAATGTAAATTTGCATAAAATTATTATGCAACCTAATACAAGAAAATAACCTGATTTTGAAAGGTCTTGAGTAGACTGTTACAAACTTCATTGGGAGATCGCTTAGTAAAACCTTTTTCAAGAATAAAAAAACAGTAAGTGAAATGATTATTGATTGTTAAGAACTTTTTTATAATTCATCAGTAGTTAAGTGATAGATATAAAAGTCTTTATATATGGGATTCTTATTTCTTCTTTCAGGTTCAATACTTTGACAAAGTTAGGAAAATTTATTTTTAATGAAATCGTGAATTCTAATTTAAACTTCTTAATCAGTCCAGAGTAATAATTTTAATTTTAAAAGGAATTGGTTTAAGATCCAATAAAATTATTCACAAGCACATACTATTTAATTAAAACAAGGGCTGTATTTATGAAGAAAAAAAAGCTGAGCAACTTTTTATTTCTCATAATTGTTCATTGGAATAATTATACAGTACACCATGTAAGACCCAAAAACCTACGTGTTTCTCTGGTTCCAGTTTTAAAATCTTCTGAATGTCTGAGGTAAACCTTCGAATCTAAATTAAGGTATTTTACATAAAATGTTAAGTTTTACAGGATCATAGGGTAATTTTTAGGCTTTCAGTTTCAAGTATCTCCTAAGAATCAGCAAAGTCCTTCTTTCATTTTTTAATCTATTTTCTACAATAAAAACATGCTAAAAAAGTATAAGCAATAAGCATGAACAAAGCTTAATTATTCTTCTCTTATTTGTTAGTGATGAATGTGATTATTGTGTAAGTAGATAAAATGCTTCCAAGTATAAGAAAAAAAAAACCTTGTTACCAGTAACTGGTACAAAACATTTTGTCCAATGTGAAGATCAGAATGAAAATATGAGTGTGCCAATGAAGATGTAATTTTAAAAAGTTAAGAATTCAATTAGAATTTGACAGAATTCCCAACAACAATAGTTGAAAATTAGTCTTGTATTCTTACAGTACTTTAAACAATTTAGCCGTTTTAATACCAAAAGATGGTACTTTAAATCAATTTTAATATCTTTTTCATTGAAGGGGTGTTCGTTTCTAATTTTACTTCTTTTTGTTGCGTCTATAATGAAAATGGATTAACACATGACATGAATTTGTATGGATCCGACGCTCTTCAGTAAGAGTCGATTTTAACCATTTTTTCTTTATAGACAAAACAGATGGAAGTAAAATTAGGAGAGATCGTTATCAAATTCAATTCGACGTCAACCTACACCCCCTTCCATTTTTCGCAAACACACCCTTTAAAGGCCAGGATACATATTTCCAGTATTGCAGAGCTTTTGAAAGAAAATATTCACATTACTCATGGAATAGCTTTCCCTCCCCAAAAACTAACTTTTTAACCCATTGCATGTGCTCTAAATCTTATCATTCCTGATTTCAAACATTTGCAAAACATTACAACCTATCAATTCATTTTATACGTTAGTTTACCTGGGCTTTCTTCGAGAGAGTTATAACTGCTTTTGATCCCTCTCCTAGTACATGGACTACATGTGGCATAGCCTAGGAAAAATACTCTCATGATGCTCGATGATTGCATACAGTCATCTCCACAATATAGTGGTCCTCGAATAATTTAATTTAAATCCATCCAGAGTGACACATGTGCAAGCAAACTCTCTAGTCCTTGTTAACTCTGGTTCATTTTAAGAAGCAGGCTGACATCTAACCAGCTATGAGCGATTTCTACAGAACACATACAAATTATACCAGGCAAATTGGTACTGTACACCAAATGAACCAGCCCCTTCTAGGGAAATTCTAGTATAGTGGATTACTAATACCTAGTTTTTTATTACCAATATATTTTGGATTAAATAAAAATCTGAAATATTTTCATTTTTAACATACATGACATAGAAAAGTAGATTTAAAGAAAACTAATTATGTAAACAACAACAAATGAATAATATTTAATTGAAGAAACCAAAATCCTTGTCACAGGGACTGTAGACCTTATTTCAAATAATCCTCCAGTTGTTCAGTGGCATGTTAAATTCACTACTGCTCAATTAAAACCTTTGATTGATCAAAGATGTAAATTTTTAAAATTACACCCTCTCCCTCTTTTTTGATACTTATACCAAAACATTAAGTCATTCCCCCCCCCCAAAAAAAAATTATTTATTTTCATCAATTCATTCGAAAGTCTTCTAAAGTTTTTCTCTGCTCGGCGCAAACATGCTTACCTTCTGGAGAAAAACAATAATTTTCAAAGAGGGGGGGGGGGGGATTTTTGAAGAAAATACTCACCACTTGGGTATTGTTGCAAATCAGACATGTCACTAAGTTAATGGGTCCATTTTATATGTAATTAAAATGTTAAGAGGAATATGATGGAAAAAAACAGTTACAAATTAATTTACTAAAACAAGATCTTAAGCTATCCTTTACATTGTACACAGCCCTCTCTTAACAAATTGCTGCCAATTAAATTATTGATATTTACAACATTCTTTAACATGCTTGTTTTATAGTTAACCAAAAACTGTTAAAAAAACCCCTTAAACTGAATTATTAAGGCAAATCAATGGCAAGATGCATTTTTTTTGTATTTCCCATGGCTGTTAGGGCAGAAATTTAAATTTACCTCAAAAAGATCTCGGAGTTTAGTAAACCCATAATCTGCTACACGGCACTGTCTGATGAATGAAGGCAACATGAATGAAAACAAAATTTTTAATATGTTTCAATAAAATATATGCAACCCCACCCCCTGGACCATTGGTTAAAAATGTTTTTGTAATTCATGTTCCTTCCAAAGTAATGATGAAAGGCTGGAATAAACTTGTTGAATGGCATCCTACAGCCAGGCCAGGTCTGAATATCAATATGAATATTTACATGATAACTATATCTAGGCAAGGTCTGAATATTAATATGAATATTTACATGATAACTATATCTAGGCCAGGTCTGAATATTAATATGAATACTTACATGAAATTAACAGCATGGCAAGGTCTACAAACAACTTTATCGTAAGTAGAAGCAACACGAAGTCTGTGTTCAGTGATTTTAGGATTAAAATCATATATACAGAGTATTTTTAAGTGTCTTATTTCATTGCATTAAGAAATTTTCCTCATCTATGTATCTAACTTTGAAGGTAAGACTGCATTCTTTGTTCTTTTTTAAAGTTTTCCATTATTTTAAATTTAATACTCAAAAGTTTAGTTTTGGAGAAATTTTGGAAAAAATATTTTTTTGGTGGATTTTTAAAACCCTTCATTTCATAAAAAATCTTAATATTGGTCAACTAAAATCATAAAATATGTTGTTAAATTATTTACAAAATAAAATTTTATATTAACAGATAAAAATTAAATATTAACTAAGTAAAATTAACAAAAAACTACAATAGAATTTCATTAAAAAGTGTAATTAGTCTTGTTTGAAAATTTTAATTACCTTAAGAAGATCGACTAATTCTCTGGACAACAAAGAGAATTGGTTTGCAAGCTGCTGTGAGTAGACCTCCTCAACATTAACTAAAATTTAGAGGCATATGTTTTGGTTTTTAAATTCCATAATGTCCATCACTACAGAAAAAAGGGCTCAGAAAAATCTCAATATCAATTCATATTCCAAAACCCTGTTTTAAGCTTAACTGTAGATATTTTGAAATCATTGCACAATCCCACTCATAGTTCATAAAAAAATATTAAATTATTAAAAATTGTCAAATCAGAAGAAAAATAAGTCCACCTGCAGGAGTCAATGCTTGAACCGAGATCTCAACCAAACTTTTCATTGCAGATTCATCTTTTATCACCTTTACACCTATATTCCAGCAAAATATTCATTCTAATTAGAAAAACTAGAAAGTGACCCACAATATAGTCAGTGCTTAGGATCCAGATCAGAATCTGCTGGATCCCCAAGATTTGGGCTTGCTGGATCCAGACACGCAAAAATATGTGGATCCAGGGATTTTGGTCCAAAAGGCAAAATTCCAACCAAAAGCTGTTGAACAAACTGTTTTTCTCGACACACAAATCTCAAATGGTAACTAATGAGAGCAGGGGAACATTATTTCTTGCTTTACACTACACTCACACCATTCATTTGTTAAAACAAAATTAGTGAATATTGTAAAAATGTTCAGATCTGGATCTTACGGATTCTTAGCATTGTTTGCAGCAAATTGAAGGCATACCATGCCTGATCACAACAGCTTAGATTGAAGAAAGGAAATATTTTTGTAGTTCTTTCTTGTTCCTGTCTTTTACCTGCCCTACTCAAAACCTGTAGTCTATACTCTGGAGTGTTAAGTGCTCTCTGTTTAACAGAGGGAGAAAAAATACCTTTGATACATGTGATGAGGTGTAGAAGAGGAACTGCTTGGTCTCCTTCCTGTTCCCTTTCAGGAAACATATGTTGGTAACAGTCTGATAAACTTGATAATGGGATTCTACCGTCATGCTCCTGATATGTATTCTAATAATTATCCTTTTTATTCTAATTATCTAACAAGGAAAAATGCAAGTGGAAATTCTTAACCAAAATGAGATAATCGTGTGTTCTTAAACGAAGACTGTGGTTCAAGATTAAATTAAATTTACAAAAGTCTCTCAAGAATAAGAAAATTTTATTGTAAAAACTAATAAGTTACCTTCAATAAAAGGTTGATATCACAGCTAACGTCTTTAAGTGATATATTTAGATAAAATAAAGGTTTACTGCTTACATCATCATCCCCTACAAAATTTTACTTTTTAAGATAGCTTCTTAGATTCATGTTTTAGTGATTTCAAACATTTTTAGATTTTTATTTTTTCAAATTATGTTACAAGGATTTTTAATTATTTGAATAATTTTCAATAATAAAGAAACTTTTGAAAAAATAAATTAAGTTCAGTTTGGGGAACTGAAGTGTCACCTCACCAAACTTAAAATTTGTAGACCAAGCTGAGAAGAAGTTTCCCAATCAAAATTCGATCAAACAGAGATTAATACTTTATATTTACAGATGATAGCTTGACATTATTTACCAAGGTTTTTTGCAGGTGAGTGCTTGCAACAATAAAAAGACTCTAGTCCTAAACAATAAAGTTTGTAGCTAACTGAAAAAAAATGATTCTGTCTTTTTGGTAAATTCAGCAAAAAAATTTAAACAGAAGTATTATTTCAGAGCTGAGTAAACTTTAAAAGTCTTCAAGAATTTTTTTATAAAACAGGAGGGCTAAAACACTGGTTTTTATCCAAACTTAATACATTCAAATTTTCTTGGATTAAATCAAAAATCTTAAGAGAAAAAAGACTCAATATTATATTTCTTCATCATGAGAATTGCAAAAGATGCTTTAAAAATAAATGTTTAACCCCTATTAAATCTACTCAAATAAAGCCTGCCCAATTTGAAACATTAACTAATTATAAATATTAAACATTAATAAATCTTTCTAAATTATTAGTTAATATTTATGCTTGTAAGAGGAATGAACAAGATGAAATCTGCAAGAAGCTCCATCTGGGGTGACCTAGACTGCCTGCCTGATTACTTTTTTATCTTCCAAAAGCTACCTTTAAGTTTGTCAACTGCTGTGATATTGGGATTAAACTGAATAATTTTCCCAGATATATCTTCAATGATATATAATAGATCCTTCATCTGATGTAGGTCAGTGATGCGAATGGAGCTGTTAAACCTAGAGAAAATATACTTAAATGTCTTTATATTAACATCATATTTATGGAGCATGATTATTTGCTATCAACTCAGTTGCTATCTACACACTTGAAATCAGTCTCATTTACTATCAGCCTCACTTGCTATCCCCTCATTTGCTATCAATTCACTTGCTTCCTGTTTCACTTGCTCTCGACCTCACTTGCACTCAGGCCTCACTTGCTATCAGGCCTCACTTGCTATCCAGCCTCACTTGCTATCAGGTCAATTTTCTATCAGGCCTATTAAAACCGTCCTTAGTTACTATCAAAAACTTGTTGCTTTCAAAACCAGTTTGTTCTTGCCATAAATAAGTTGCTTTCTAAATAAGTTGCTACCAAAACCTGTTAGTTGGATTCCTTTAGTAGAACAGCTACGCACTTTGCATCCGTTTCTGTATTTCTGGCACCTGTTGGTGGCCTGTGCTTTGTATGCCTTGTCTTTGAAGTAGAAATACAGGTAGTCATTAATATCTTTTTAAAAGGTTGATACCTTTACTTGAGACAACAAAATGAGCCATCCCCACGCAAAGTTTGCCACAGAATGATGAATTCAGAATGTTGTGAAATATTTCCATTTGTTGCAGATTTTTAAGAGAAAAAAATGAAAAAAATAAGTATTTAAAGAAAGTCAAAAATTTTATAGCAAATAATGATTAATGGCAAAATTGTTGATAGCAAATTTGCTTAATAGCAAGTGAGGCTTGATAGCAAATGAATGTGGTCACAACTGAGTTGATAGAAAATGAGTTTGATAACAAATGTTTAGATAGCAGTTGAGCCTGGATAGTAAATGAGGCTTGATAGCAACTGAATGTGATCACAACTGAGTTGATAGTAAATGAGCTTGATAGCAAATGTTTGGATACCAAGTGAGGCCAATAGCAACTGATTTTGATTGCAAGTGAGTTGATAGCAAATGATTGTGCTCCATATTTTTAATACAATTGAAAAAAGAACATAACTCATAAAATAAACAAATTAAAACCCCAAAACTACCCCCACCTCCCAACCCAATCTTTTCTCAAGAGTATACCTTTTATCATAGAGTTCTCTGAACTTCATGAGGTGTATTCTTCCTCCAGGAATACTCAGTAGAACAGAAGCTACTTTACTCTTCAACGAGCTTAGACTGATTTTAGTTCTGCAAAACAGTGTTAACATGAAAAAGAAGATATAGGGCCTAGCAATCACTAAGTTTCTACCCCCCTCCCTGCCCCCCCCCACCGGGGTGCCTCTGAAAAAATCCCAGATGTGACATATTGTTTTGGAAGCATTAGGGTTAAGACTAGCTCAAATATGAAATTTTTGCATTTTAAAATAATTTTCAGTTTTTTTTTAACTTGGTTTTAACTATATTTGACAGATTTTTTCAAATTTTTTGGTTTTTTGATGGCCAAATATTCAGAAAACGGTGAAAAATCACCTCTTTTTTACACCTTCTGTCATCTCTATCTGGGAGTGGTTAAAGAAAGTTATTTGTTTCAAAATCAAACACCATAGTATTATGAAAAATTTTGACAGTTTGACAATTGAAAAAATTCTGTTAACCCAATTTTGCTGAAAACAGTCAAATATGCCAAAAATGGCGGGAAGAACAGTAACATCAGAAAATTCTTTTTCAATGCTTATATTTTGCATTTAAGCTAGTTTTACACTAATGCTTCCAAAAAACTGTTATTTTAGAAAAGTGTGCATAACTAAAGTAAAATAAATAATGGGAATTGATTATATTTGCCATTGTCAGGCACCACCAGTGTTCCACCAATAATTTTTTTGAGTACATTCTTTTGGAGTATAATATGCATTCATTTTTAAATCTATATTTTTTTCCACTGAACACTGAATTTTTTCTCTGACTTTTGTATCTTCTTTTTAGCTGATCATCCATCTGTTTCCTGTTCCCCTCTTTTAGATCTATGCATTCTAATCCTTTGTAGACAAGGGGATTTTACCCTTGACGCATATTTCTGCTTTCTTTCTCCCTAATATTACACATATTACAAATTGTATTATGTTGTGGATTGATGATGCAGCTTTTTCATCCAGCTATTGTTCATATATATTAAATATATTCTTACAGGTTGGAAAAATAAGTCACCGCTAAGCGAGGTTTAAAAATTCTGAGGATCCAATGTCAGAATTCTGCTAACACTTCAGAATAGAGCCATGTCTGTCAATCTTTTCCTCACAGCCGGCAGAGTATAAAACTGGTATCATAGTGCATGGTGCACAACCTATCAGGATTCTACTTTCTATGTTTCCATTTTCCTTGTTTCTGGCAATTGGGAGGGGGAAGAGAAGAATAGAGAAACCCTGCCAGGTTTTATTCCACACAGGGTTATGTACAGTCGCAAGAAACTGGAGAGTTGTATAAGAACCTTACTATGCTGAAGATCCCATTAAGCTCGCACAATGCACATAGAACCAGATTCAATTGAAAGAATTAATGTCTTTCCGAAGTGTTCAGATACTTAAGAACAGCTAACCAGGCTTGTTATTAAGGAGTATATTTAAAGCTGTCGGTAGAAAAATCTGGATCAGCTATGTAAAAATCCCTCCATTCTCCAGGTTAATGCAGTGTTAAAAGATAGATAAATGCAGGCATTTAATGTTACTTGTAATGCATAAAAGTTTGAATCTTAAAAGTTAAAGCTTAAAAGTTTAAGCTGTAAATTGGGATCTTAGAGAACTAGCAGAACATTCTTTTAATCACCTGTAAGCCAAATATATTCTCTTGTGACCTAACTTCTTACGGTGTAGCCGAAATATTGCTAGCTGTGCTGATTGTTGGTTTTCAAGCTAGACATTAAAAATAATAATATGGTTTTAACAATTCTTTACTCAAATCTACTTAATTTGTTTATAATTTACAAGTTGTTATATTCATAGGCTATTTTAAAAGCTCTATACATAATCTTTGCAAAGGGGTATAAAGTTTTAAAATAAGTTATCCTCCCTCCCCTCCTCAATAATAAAGTTTACTCCTTCTGAGCAAAGCATAATTTTTAACTAATCAGAGCTGAAAACTTTAGAATAATGGATGTCGAGATCAATGCTTTATCTCCACTTTTTCTTAATCTCCAGATTAAGTAATGCTTATTCTCCTCCTGTTATTAATCTCCAGATTAATTAATCGATTGGGATTAAGGATATCCCATTCTAAAGTTTTCACCTCAGATTGTTTAATAGTAGAAATTTTATACATGCTTACCTTCACTATAGCCTGAGGTTTACCATCTGACAAGAAGCTTATATTTAACTCTTTCACTGTTACGAACTCTCTAGAATGGCGATTTGTGTTAATAAGGTAAAATTAGTATATTGTTAAAACTACATCAAAATACTAATAAATCAACTCAAAATTTTTATTTCTGGGAATAAAATAGTGTGCTCGTCACCTAAGAACAAATGTCCAGAAGGACTTTTTTCAGAGAGAATAGTTCTGAAAAATATTTATATTTGTTCTTATTATCTAAAGTTTTGCAGATTTTAAGAAGGGTCAATGATTGCAGCTGAAAATACTTGGGGCAGACCATTCCAGCTTTGCTGAGAAATATACCATGTCATCATGACAAAACTATCAATTCATCAGATATTGTAGGATATTGTAGGATGTAGGAATAGGGAAATTATGAACTTAAAACTTCATTCCAAATAGTCACAAAATCAATTTAAGTTTATTAATTGATTAGATTAAACACTCAGTGCGTAATGATTAAGAAGCCCAAGGCTAGATTGGTAGGTAGGCTATGTTCAAACTGGGGCCATCATATAATCTACAGAATCGTTTGACTGTACAATCAATCACCATTTTTTACAGTATATTTCAATAGGAATTCTGGAATTTTTTTCAGTATAAAATCTAAAAAGTTATTCCAAGTTAATATATTGTATCCATATACTTAAATATATTTGCAATATTTTTAAGAATAAAAAAATTTTAACTTAAAATGTTAATGATGCAATCATGCATTTCCCTTTTTGAAAAAAAACATGGAAAAATAAAATGTTAAAATTTTACTTGGGGCTTGGATCCAAAAGCAAAAAAATAATTTTGTTTACCTAAACTGTAAGATGAGAATTTTTCTCATCTGCTCTGGTGGAATAGATCTGTCAAGGTTTGTTATCTAAACAAATCAAAAAGGACTGCGCACTTAACATGAACTGTAATTTTGAAGTCCCTATATCTTTGCAACCTAATCCTTGAATATTTAAATTCTTGACTCTTTGAGCCAGGGCAATTCTTGAGTTGAAATATCAAATGTTTATGACATCAGGTTTCAAAGATATAGGGATTAGAAAATTGGAATTTGTTGTAAGTTTCCAGTTCATTCGATAAAGTTCATAATTTTTAATATTTCTACTGTAAAAAGCTGAATAGGAAAAGCTACATCAGAATAAAAAAAAATTCTGAGTTTAATTTGATCAGGTTGGATTGAGAGGAGAACTCACTAAGTATGGATTAAGAAAATTCACCAAGTTTACATTAGAGGAGAGATAAGTAAGGTTGAATTGAGAGGAGAAATCAAAAAGGTTGGATTGAGGGGAACTAAGCAAGACTGGATTAAGTGAAGAGGCGAGTTAAGTTGGATAAACAAAAGAGAAAGCTTAGATTGAGAGGAGAATGGTGCAACCTTGGATTAAGATGAGATCTGAGCAAGGTTGGATTAAAAAGAGGATGAGAAAGTTAAGATTGAGAGGAGAATGGTGCAAACTGTGATTGTGAGGAGATCTAAGCAAGGTTGGATGAAGAAGAGAACTGAGCAGTGATGAATTATGAGGAGAATTGAGCAAAATGTAGAAGGAGTAGAGCAAAGGATGTTTTAAAAAGTCAATAACTGGATTTAAATTTGCTTTAAGTAATTAGATGAACTTACTGATAACAGTTTTTTTAAAGCTTCTAAAGAATTGAAGTTAAAAACTGAGGTTTGAGAGAGAAAAACCTTTTAAAATCTAAATTCCCTTTTCTCATTCATTTCTAAACTTGGCTTCCTATATTACAATCTAAGGGCTTCCTATATTACAATCTAAGGGCTTCCTATATTACAATCTAAGGGCTTCCTATATTACAATCTAAGTCAAAGTTTTTTAATCTTTACCTGAAGTTCAACTCCACTGCTGTGGTCATCCAATTTATTCAGATCAAGTTCTGTATACATAAATAATTAACATCAATATTTCTTTTACTATTTAAAATTAATCTATTTTTTCTAACTCAGGAAATGATTCTTTATTCATAAAGATTATTTACTAATTAGAGATAAACGTTTTGTCAAAACTGATTTTAATGCTTAACAAAGACCTAAAAAAAATATTATACCTTTGAGAATGATTTCTTCATCATTATTACTCAGAGAGCAATTGCTGTAGTCTTCAACTTGCTTTTAATTTATTAAAAAAAAAATAGAAATTATCAAGTTAAGAGAAGTATTTTATCATTCAAAATTTCTGACTTTAATTAATTTTATTTGAAATTAATTAAAATAAAATAATTGGAAATCCCCCACAAATTACTTTTAAACAGGAAGGATGGGGTAAAGAATGATTTTTCAATATCTTTCCAGCTTGGAATAAAATAGATAATATTAAGATCATACAGTTTGGGTTTGAATGTAATTTTTGTATTTGCTGATTTGGGGACTGTAAGCATAATTTAAAGATATCCTCCGGCCATTCAATGGTACCCTTGAAAGCTTTGTTTGATCAAGTATGAATTAGATGTGCAATGTGCGTATTTGTTTTCATTTGTGATTTCTTTGTAAACTTGAAATTACCCTTGTCCCTTTGTTTGGTGCTGCATAATTGCTTGAAATATTAGTTTTGTTTACCTGAAGCTTTGGACTGTTGTTGTCATTGAAATCTCCGCAGAGTTGACTCCAACTCATCTCAGACCTAACATAAACAGTAAAAATAATATAAAGCAAAGCTTGAGTTAATTGTTTCTCTAATTCAATTAAATAACAACAAAAAATTTGGCCAACATTGCCCTTTAAACTTGTCAAGCCAAAAGAGGAAAAGAGTTTTTAACAAAACTTGATTAGAAGCTTGGCCAGTGGCTGGAGTGCTTAATGGATCCACAAAATTTAGCTCCTTGGATCCAAATTCCATTAAAAGGAATCAACGGAAACTTTGTGGCCATATTGCTTAATTGATCTGCAAAGTTTAGCTCCTTGGATCAAGATCTACCAAAAAATGGCTCCAAGGAATAATCAAAATTTCAACTGAATAAAACCATCCTAAACATAGAAAAGTAAAAAAGTTTCTGCCTTGAAAATAGCAAAAAACATAAAAGAAATCAATGGAAATTGAGTTTGGTATGAGAAATTTGCTAATATTTATTGGATTTAACTCTTTAACATGACTAATCCAGGGTCTGGATCCAGATCCAATTCAAATTAAAATGGATCCGGGGTATAACAACAGAAATCTGTAAGATTATTTGGTTTTAAGATCTTAAAGATTTAGGTAATCATAAGTTAAGGGATGAAATTATTTGTTCAGACATACCTTAAAATATGTGATGTAATGTATCATAAAAATCCTGAATTCTTACATGTGTAAGAGGGTCAATTTCCTCACATACTTTCATGTGAATTCTGTTTTCTGAAGAGAAATTAATTACAGTGTATTATGAAGATGTTTGGTTATTAACAGAGTCAGGTTGTGAGAACACAAAATTAAGACAAGAAATTTAAATGAATTGTGAAGATAAATGAAAGTGTACATACATACTGCAAAATGAGCATTGTTCACTGCAAACTGCACATTGCACACTTCAAAATGCACACTAACACTGCAATATGTATACTGCACACTTCACTTACTGCACATTGCAAACTGAACACTTAACTATTAACACTGCACATTTCAATCTGCACACCGTACACCAAGGAGATATTGAATAGAAGGAGGGGGCGATAGGGTTTCCGTACACTTTGCTGTGACGTTTTTGAACTGCTGAAGAACTAGTAACAACAATAACAAAGGCATGAGTTTGTAAACTGTGAAAGTTGTATTATATTGTTAAAAAAGATTGAAAAAGTTAAGGATTTTAGTTTTATTCGAAAAGGACCTTACTACAGCAACATTTTCAATCAAATTCAAGGTTATCCGCCCCCCCCCCTTTTATAAATACGCCAGAGATTCGAGATGTTTGTTTATCACTTGTGTTATTGTTTACAATATTTATTATTGTTGTTACGCAAAAACTAGTTCTTCAGTAGTCCGAAAACGTCACAGCAAACCCTATATCGCCCCCTCCTTCTGTTCAATATCTCCTTGCCGTACACTTTACTCTTTACATAGTACACTGAACAATTTGTACACTCTAGGCTTCACACTGTGCACTGTGTAGAAGACATGTGGGGTCTGTCCTAGAGAACGTTTCTTGGACCGTTACCCTGCCCTCCCCCCCCCCTCTATCATTTTTGTACATGATTTCAGCAAAATTAGTATTATTTAATTATTTTTATTATTTTAGTTATATTAGATTAAGACATATTCTGGGCCGAGCGCTACAAATAGGACAGGCAAGCTGGGCCGAGCGCTGCGGCTAAGACAGGCTAGGGGCTGAGCGCCGTGGCTAGGACAGACTAGGGGGCCGGGCGCTGCGGCCACATGACCAGTGATAACCATTTTCATCATAGGAGGCTTGTAATGCATAAAAGTTTGAATC